AACACAATAATATGCTTGTATTTCACTAGAAAAGCAAGGAAAATAGCAAAGATACAATTGATCCTCAATTCGAGAGGAGGATTGATCTCTCCCAAATCTCTAGACGCCGATAGAGCCCAAAGAAAACCTAAATCTACGAGATCTCAAATTTCAGCCAAATTCAAGATGCCCAAACCCTAGCCAAATCAATTATTTAATGCATACAATTCAAAAGGAATTCCCTAAACAGTCCCTGCAATCAATTTCCCTCCTAAACTTCCTCAAATTTCCTTCCCGAAACGGTCCCGCAAGACGTGCGTCTCGCGCGCGGCTTCCGCCCAGGTGGAGCTGTTTCGTGATTTTGCCTGTGAACCGGTCCCGCCTAGACCGGCTGGACCGGTCCAGTGGACCGGTCTAACAATAAACTATCAATTTTGAGTCTTGATTGATTATAAATAAAAGTCCAAAAGGTTTTCGCTTGAGTAGATCTAAAACTGAATATATAGAGTGTAATTTTAGTAGCAATAGACCTAGTGACTTTGGGCAATCAAATCATTAATAAGAGTACACGTTTTAGATATCTTGGATTTATTGTTCAGAGTGATGATGAAATAGATGTGGATATTATCATCAGAATTCAAGTTGGATGATTGAAGTGGAGGAATGCATCGGGCTTGTTGTGCGATAGAAAAGTCCCCTTCAAACTTAAGGAAAAATTCTATAAGATGGTGTGAGACCTGCAATGCTTTATGGTGCCGAATGTTGGCCATTAAATGAGAAGCATAATACTAAGTTAAGTGTTGCAGAGATGAGGATGCTTAGGTGGATGAGTGGTTTTACCCTTAGAGATAGGATACGAAATGAGCATATACGTGAAAAGGTTAGAGTAGCTCTAATGGAAGATAAGATTAGAGAGAGTCGCCTTAGATGGTTTGGTCACATTAAATGTAGGCCTTCCGATGACCTGCTTAAGAAAGTTGAGGTATTAGATTTGACTTATGTTAAGAAGGTAGAGGTAGACCTAAAAAGACTTCATTAGAAAATACTAGAAATGATCTTTCTTTATTAGATTTAAATGAGAATTTGACTTTTAACAGTACACAATGAAGTAAAAGGATTCAAGTAGCCGACCCCACGTAGCGGGACAAAGGCTTGATGTTGTTGTTGTATGATTATAAATAAAAATGAAAAGACATTTAAAATTTTAATCTATCACTTTTCTTAAACTTCTAGATTTTCTCTCAAACTTATATATTATGATTGGATATAAACTCTTTAAGTGCCAGGCAACTGTTGACTTCAACTTTTGGGTGAAAATTTCTTCTTGTAATGACATGAGGCTTGGATATTCTTAAATGACTTCTATACTTGTTTTTTTTTTAATATAAAAAAAAAATTGTAATAGATATTTAGATTTGAGTTTGGAATTTAATCAAATATAATACAATTTGCTCGTCTTACTATCGTGTGAGTCATAATTGTTGTATGGTTTATTTCAATCTCATCTTTCTTAAAAAATTTATATATTTTTCAACTATCATTAAATTATATTTTGAAGCAATATCCAAGTGTTTCCAGATTTTCATCAAAAAAGCTAACTTTGCCTAAACTAGAGATAGGCGACTGTAAATCTGATATTTTGTGCATATCATCTTAGATTTGTATTAATAATGCTCTAAACCCCAGGATATGATGCATTAAGCCACGGATGCTTAAAATCACTTCAAGGTTGGTGATGTGATGATTTAGTTTAAACCGTGCTTGAATTATGCATACAACATAAATAATAGAACATTTTCATAAATTATCTGTTAGAATTCATAGAATTTGAGAAGGGTAAAAATACCTTCTACTTATTATACAAAATTATCCCTATTTATAGATCTATACAAGATGTCTTAATAAAGAAATAAATAACTTCTAATTGATATATAATTGCCTCAATATAATCCTTCCTAATTTAGCTACCCAAATATAGAAGGATAGTGGCGTGATCCAGGTGAGCCTCCCAAGGATTCTCATCATGACCGTGGGATCAAATGCCAGGGATGACTGAGATTTTGACACTCCCCCTCAAGCTGGAGACCAGCTTGGAATTACTCGCTCAGAGGTAGAGCTAACAAGTCCCTTGGTACATCATATTCTTCCATTTGGTCAAGATTGTGGGAGAATTAGCTTCAATGACAAATGATAGCGATGAAAGCTATATCAATCAAGCCTGAAAGGGCAGCAATGAAGGCTGCGTTGAACAATAGCCCTCAAGATATAAGAAATGATAATAAAGGCCGGTGGTGGGACAACAAAGAAGATGGATTAATTATCCTTTAGGTCTGTCTCCTTCTCGATTATCAAGGGAAGGTCGGCAATGAAGGCACGACAATATATGACAAAATTCTGGCAATGAAGGCCGGAGGTGGGAACGTGCATTCCTCATAATTCCAGCAATAAAGGTTGATTTGATCAACAATAAAGGCTGATTTGCTTGTATCAGCAATAAAGGCTGATTTGATCAGCAATAAAGGCTGATTTGCTTGTATCAGCAATAAATGCTGATATTAGATCTTAATAAGATCTTAAATCTGATTTAAGGTTTTTTTTTTCATTTTTTTTCAAATCTCTTTGTTTAATAAACCGAACCGCTTGGTTTAATAAACTGGACCGAGCCAAGTTAACATGGCATCGGCATGAGAGCAGTGTCGGAAGCTTCTTGCGGCACCGACTGTGGATTCTGCGGCGTCTGTCTTCGGTGTACCGGCGTCTGTCTTCAACTTTTGTTGGTAACGCTCCGTCTGCCTCCATCTATGGCTTCATTCGCAAGCTCCGGCTTCGTCGTCTGGGCAATGTAGCTCTGTCCACGTTGTCAGCTCTATCCGTGTCGTGAGCTCCGTCCGTGACCTTGGCTTCGGTCGCAAGCTTTGTTGCTTCTGCACGCACGAGAGTTGGCTCAAAATTAGGCGGCTCCTTCCCGTGAGGTCTTGATGTTTCCTTCCTTTGGATCAGTCTCGCAGGAGGTTTGCTCGGCCCGTCCGTCCCGCAAGGCCCCACCGCTTTTTTCCTTCCTTCGACTTCGTCACAGTTTGCTCGGCCCGTCCGATTTCATTTGGCTTCAGGCTTCGGGCTTCTGGGTCCAGCGTCGCTTCTTCGGCTCCTTCGTGGCTACGCTCCTTTGACGACTTTCCCTTTCTGTCGGATCGGGAAGCTTCTGTCGTTAGGGGAGCTTCGTCTGCGGCGTCCGTCCTCAGCATCGCTTCGGCGTCATTGCTTCGCAGGAGGCGTAGAGATTGCGTGCATGGCTCGTTCGTGGCTGTTCGACTATCTTCCGTTTTGATCGGAAGTTCGATTGAATCGTCCGTCCAGTCCAGCGTGTACGAGTAGGCAGCGATCAAGTCTCGGATGTCCCGAGCTTCTTTTCTCTTCCTCCTCCGACGATCTAGGATCGTTCTTCGACGGCAATTAAGGCCGTTGGCTCTGATACCATGTTAGAATTCATAGAATTTGAAAAGGGTAAAAATACCTTCTACTTATTATACAAAATTATCCCTATTTATAGATCTATACAAGATGTCTTAATAAAGAAATAAATAACTTCTAATTGATATATAATTGCCTCAATATAATCCTTCCTAATTTAGCTACCCAAATATAGAAGGTTAGTGACGTGATCCAGGTGAGCCTCCCACGGATTCTCATCATGACCGTGGGATCAAATGCCAATGGATGATTGAGATTTTGACATTATCAAATGAAGTAATCCATCAAAGAACATTTCCTGATCGATAATTATATAGTGAAATACCTTATTAAACTATCTCAAAGATTTTAATCTCAGGGAAAAAGAAGACGCCTCTATGTAAAAAAAAATTATTACCTTCGTATTTTTCAGAATACCGTTAGGATCAGTTGCAGCTATCCAACCCAATCTCCAACCAGGCACCAACCATCTTTTTGATAAAGATCCAAGAGTCAGAACAGGGACAGTCTGCCCAAAAGCTCCCATTGGCACAAATGGATTCTTTCCAAAGGTCAAATGACCGTATACCTCATCTGCAATGACCATTATACCAAGCTTCTTGGCGGTTTCAGCTACCTTAAATATGAAACATAACCACGATTACAGAAAAAACTTGTATGCTATATCAGCAAAGAAAACTAAAAAAAATGAATCAAGCACTAATTCCATTGAAGCCACCTTGGACAAATGTTGATAGCTTAGGACGTTCCCACAAGGATTGCAAGGGTTGATGACAACCATAGCAACTGTCTTATCATCAGCAAGAGACTCAACCATGTCTAGGTCAATCTCCCATTCTCTATCTGAAACCAAGTTGAAATGCCTAACATCCAGTCCAGAAGATGCACATTGTTCCTCATATACTGAGAAACCAGGCCTGGGTAGCAAGATATTTGCACCAGGCTGAGAAAGAACAGAGACAACAATCTCAATTGCTTGGGTGCAACCACTGGTAAGAAAAACATCGTCTGGTGACAGCTTGTATGGTAGATCTCCAGAGAGGTATTCAACAATAGCACTGTCATTTGAAGGGGATGATTTTTCATAAAACATAGCATAACCATCTAATATTTATCAAATTTATATCATCAATTTATAGGAGATACTAATGAAAAATCATGTCAGTGTCAACAAATTTTTATAATTTAAATTTGAATACTAAAGCAACGAATAGAAAATTATGGAAAATAACAAAAAAAATATTCTGAAATTTCTAAAGTTGTTTAAAAAAAATAATATAAGTTCATGTACATAAAAAGTGCTTTTAAATTTGTATATTTTTGTATTAATGACAAAAGACATTCAGCATGAGTTATGTAAGCGTACAGTTTTTATAGGTTTCTCAACAATGAATGAAATTTAAAAAGGGGTTTAGGTCGTGTAAAAAGATAGACTTCATTTGATGATATTCTTTTATGATTTGCTTTTCAATAATATGGCAAATCACAATTTGGGGGTGTACAAACATGTGCAATTAAAACTTGAAATTTTATTTGCACTTCCTCCATAGCCTCACGAACATGGCCAAGATTTGCAAAATAGTCATCCTTCTTACTAATAGTAGGAATGACTTTATTTCATATAACTTATAAATATAACAATAGTACTACAGCATTATCAAACAAAGTTGAAGCACACGATATAAATTTTTTTTTTTTATGTGAAATTTTGAAAGAAAAATTGTTAAATTCCTAGGTAGATTTAATGTACCAAAAATAAAGATACATATGGAGAATAATTACTCAAATTAAAGCTAATTAAACAAAATAAAAAGTGATTTTGGATTATAAAGGAGAATAAACTATTTTGGAGATGTAAAGGTGACTTTATAAAGTATAAAGCACAACTACACCTCCTATACAATAATGATGCCAGTAATAGAAATAAAGAAGTCACTAATTGATACTTACGTATGATAAAAATGAGTATAACAAGAACATGTTATAAAATTAAATAAGAATACTTGAGAAATTATTATTATAACCGTGATGAGAAATAGTATCTATATTGTGAGCTCCGAAAATTTGAACTTTTGGGGCCTCGGCCTCTACGCGTTATATCCGGGAAGAGTTTTAATGGATTATGTTCAGGGGAAATTTTTCGGAAAACAAATTAAATAGAGAGAAGACAATACCTAGAGATTTGTCCCGTATAATGAGGACTTTAAGATATGAGTTCTGGTTTCCTAAATGTGCAAGCCCCTATAGTTAATTACCCTTCTCAATAATGAGAGAGCACTTTCAATTAAGGCTAGTTGTAAAACAGATACTTAGTATCTAGCATATAGTAGCAGCATAAGTAGATATTTAAAATTGGAAATTTATTACCGTGCACTTAAAGCAGATGATTGGGGAATGATGATAAACCCGATCAACATCCCATAGTTCCGTCGTCCCGGGTCATCATGTTCCCTAATCAACATAGTTAGAAGAGGCAGTCAACCCAACCTAACAGAATGATCTTTAACAGAAGTCATGGGTTGCTTTGTACAAGAGCACCTTATAGCTTTGTACAAGGGCACCTTGTAGAAATGGGATAAATGTTTGTCTAAGGGACGAATTCAACTCGACCTAAGCTTGCAAAGAACTTGTGCCCTATCGATTATACCTTATAATTCATTACTCAATGGTAAATAGTCATTGGGGAACATGCGAGCTTTTAACCATGAACATGATATAGTGGAATCGTTCAAATCAAGCCACTAGGTCAGAGAGTCGCGGTCATAATTGTTTATCACATGGAGTCGTTCTGGCCAAAATACCGATTAAAGGACTTGTCATAACCATACCACATAGAGTCGTCTGGCAAAGCTACGAGTTTTGTGGAGCAATCTGGCCAAACCACTGGTTAGAGGACAATGCCACTTCCTTATTGGCAAGATATTATTTGAGAATGAATCTTAATGACATTCTCGATTTGGATATTCGCTCTTTGACAGCTAGAGTTATCTTGGAGTCCATCACCCTAGCTAAATTGTTGCAAATGGTGGGTGAATTTTGCATTAAATTAAGATTATTAATTTTAATTTTTAAATATACAATTCTTTAATAAACATTGAGCTTAAGAGTTTTAATAAAATTTAAAAATTAACCGATTGATATCAACTTTAAATACGGCCATCATTAAGGATATTTAAACAAGTTTTATATTTGTCATTTGAACCATGTCAATTCTATTTGTCCACTAACAGAGGATCAGTTTAATTACTGATATTGTGAGTTATAATACCAACGATGAGAACCAAGAGCTTATATTTTAATGATAAGTTTCATTTAAAGAGCCTTTGAAGGCCTAATGTGAACTTTAAAATTAAATATCCCGGTACATTTGCGATTAGTTATTCACTTGTTAATCTAAGACGTGTCGACGCAAGTCCTTTCAAGGAGGAGGAGTGTACTTGAAATATAACCCGTACAATATTCTCAGATCTTTGAATTAGGAGTTATGTGCGACGGTCGGAACACATGCGGGTATTTAGTTTGAAAATAGGATTTTAAATTAACGAGATTTTAAACCCCAAACAACATTCTTAGACATTTAAATTGCTCAATTAGGTATTGAGACCTTTTTTTATTTGTGAGGCGAGGCGTAAGCCTTAAGTTTAACTATAAGAGCAAATATTATAAGAGCAAAATAATATTAGATATAGAAATTACATAAAAGTATCATATAACATTAAGTTGAACTCCAAATTTCTTCTTTCTCAATACTCATTTACATTTAATTTGTAACAAAAGCTTAAATAATTGACAACTTAAAAATGATCTGCACTGTCATCATTGAGGTGATTTTTATTTGAGCTGTCACCATAACAAATTAGTCTATCTTCTGCCTCTTCTTGTGGAGTTGAATGCCTCTCAATCTGCTTCTTCTTAATTTATTTCAATAATGATCATCTTTTATAAATGTTTTTCATCAACATAACGATGAGATTAATACTGCAAAATTTTTAGGATGGTGGTGTGCGACTTTCAAGTGATCGTCGATGACAACTGCGATGATGTTGGCTACGACGAAAGCACCGGACTGGTGGTAAAGGCAGTTGAGATAAAGTTATTGTGGCTCCAATGAGTAGGAAGGCGTGATTTATGTTAATTTTAACAAAAAAAATACATGTTAGAGGCGAGGCGTGCTTCAAGGTGTGCCTCAACCAAGCTAAGGTGCAAGCCTCATAAAAAAAGATAGAGTTGTACGGCTTAATGCGTTTTTCACTAGATTTGCGCTGAGGCGAGCCTCATATTGCACAATTTTAAACAATGCTTCAAATAAAAAAGGTTATAAATGCTATAACTGCACTACCGGCTAAATGTTTGTCTCCAGGCATGTCTTATTTGATGAAAACACCACCTATGACGTTACCCCAATCACACCCCATACCTCCACAAACAACAATTCACTCTCATTTCCTCCCTCTATTCTCCACTCCACTTTCCCACATAGTTTGTCATCTAATCCTACTCCTCCAAACAATCCCTCCCCACTCTTATCCTCCAACACAACTGCTCCCCTCCCCCCTCTTCAGCTTCTTCCACCCCATCCTCCATTCACAGCCTCCCAACTACTCAACCACACCGTCACCCATGACTACCCATCTCCACACGGATTCCTTAAAACCTCGGCAAATACTCCATCTTCACCATACTATTACATCATCTCCACCTACTCCCACCTACTACACTTCAGCCATCAAAGTGATTGAATGGCGTGAAGCTCTTTCAGATGAATGCAATTCCTTGCAAGCTCAGAAAGTACTTGGATTCTTGTTCCCCCTCAACCTCATCATAAATGTTATCGGCAAAAAATGGATATTTAAAATTAAGATGCACTCCGATGGTTCCATTGCTCGCTATAAGGCGTGGCTTGTTGCCCAAGGATACAAATAGGAGTATGGGCTTGATTATCATGAGACTTTCAGCCTTGTATAAAAATCTCCCACGGTCCATCTACTTCGTACCGTTTCTCTTCAATTTCAGTGGCCAATCCTACAACTTGATATCACTAATGCTTTTCTTCATGGTCATCTAGCTAAAACTATATTTATGTCTCAACCTTAGGGCTTTAAAAATCCTCAATTCCCTCACCAAGTATGTCTTCTAAAAAAAAAGCCCTCTACGGACTCAAACAAGCTCCACGCCAATGGTTCGCTACCCTCTCTTCCTATCAAAATCTTTATGGCTTCCATTCGAGCACTTCAGACTCCTCTCTCGTGATATATAATACCAATAATATAAGAGTTTACATCCTCATTTATGTAGATGACATTCTAATTATAGGAAAAAATGAAGACTTCGTGACTAATCAATTCCACAAACTCACCCAAAGCTTCAACATGCGAAACCTTGGCAAGCTATCCATATTTCTTGGTATTGATGTTATGCATAACAACAATTCATATCATCTTACTCAACAATCCTACATTATGGAACTTCTTCAAAAAGTTGGAATGACAAATTGCAAGCCCATCTTGAATCCGCTCCCCTCCAATTTCCCTTCAGCACTCGAACTGCAGCAACCATTCCACAATCCCTCTCTGTTTCGACAGTTAGCTGGCTCATTGCAATATCTTACTTCCACTCGCCCTGATATCACCTTTGTCATTAACAAAATATGTAGCACATGCATACTCCACTCGACTATCATTTTCAGTTACTTAAACACATCTTATGATATCTAAAAGGCACAGCTTATTATGGGCTTCTTCTTTGACAAGGTCCTCTTCAACTTCATGCCTTTTCATATTCTGATTGGGTTAGTGATTCTACCGACCGCAAATCCACTACAGGTTTTTGTGTCTTATGTCTTCCTTTGTCCGAATCTCATCATTTGGAGTGTAAAAAAAAATAGACAATAGTTGTCCGCTCTTCTACAGAGGTTTAATACCGATCACTTGCTGCAACTACCATCGAAGTCATATGGCTACGTCACCTCTGCTCTGATTTTTCAATTCCCTTGGACACAATACCTCTATTCTGCAACAACATATCCGCCCTCTCCCTTGACGACAATCATATTTTTCATGCCCGCACAAAGCTTATTGAGATCGACCATCATTTTATCATGGAGGCCATGCATTCACACACTACTTCGGCACAACACATCTCCTCAACTGACCAGATATCAGATATTTTTACCAAGGCTTTACCAAACTCCATGTTCACAACTCTCATAACCAAGTTGACAATCACAGATATCTCAACTTGAGGGGAGATATTAGAGCTACTTCAACACATTTGGTTTTTATTGTTACTATCTCCGCTACTCTGCAAGAGTAGACGTTTCGTGCACAAGTTCAAAAATCACATTATTACTTTGTTACCTAGATTAAATCTCTACCGTTACTTTTTAACAAACTCTTTGGCATTTATGTAAATTACTCTTCCCAGCTTTAGTGTGTGTGTGTGTGTGTGTGTATGTATATATGTATATATATATATACATATATACAGTTCACTAATAGATTGAATATACATGAATTAAACTTTGCTCTATTCTGCATCTTCATTTTCTTCCTTTCTCTGCTTACCGCCAGCAACTGCTATTCTGCTTGTCTTGTCTTCAAGTTGTACAGGTGTTTTATCAATTAATATGCCCTACATTTAACTAACATGATGTTAAAACTATAAGACATAATTCCAATTTGATGTAGGATGACAATGTTTCATAATGCAACAAGTATAATTTGAAATATACTTGTATGCAATGAAAAAATTAAATTAATGATTCATAGATTACTAGCTATCAATCAAGTCAACAACTCTCTTTAAAGTAAATAAGCAATAGCTTTTAAGCTCGTATGATAAATAAGTGATTGCAAAATTTCAATAGTTTCAACAATAAATATAAAATAAATAAATGAAATAAGCAAATGAGTTGATTTCAACAAAATTATATTTATAATGTATCAAATCTTGACCAAAATCACTACTAATAAACTAGCAAAAATAAATTATTTAGAAGAAAAAGTCAATGAAAAGAAATATAGCAAGAAAGAGAAAAAAAAAACTCTCATCAGGCCAAGAAGATGACTTCCCATGAAATTAGGTAATTGTATTTGTACTGTACTCAGAAGGAATCATGCATCCACTTGCATTCACAATAAGATAACTAACGCTAAAAAAATACAACTTTTACAGCCAAACACAACCTTATTTTGCTCAAATCATTGCCATGACCTCAAACTACATGAACTAGGAAAGAAACCAACCACCAAAGGCTAAATTCTGATTGATAATGAGTTATGACAAAAATGGCTCTCTTAGGTTAGAGCATGATAGATTTGTTATGCATTGACACTTAATAACATCAAAACATGTAGTGCCCAATCTATGCAAGACATAATACATGGCTGCCACATGACCGCCACTTGTAGAACACACCATCGACTTGTCCAATTAAATAAATAATAAATAAATAAAGGTCATATATATCAGATGTGAATGTCGTGGGTTAAGTAAAATAGCATTAATGAGAATAACAAAACTGTAAAAGAGTGGAATACTAATAAAAGTTTGTTAATTTTGAAAAATGATAACTTAAATATGATATTCATAATTATACTTTATTTAGATTGCTTCTTTTTCCATGATATTTATTTTATTTTATTTTGCAAAAGAAGAAAATTTATCATTATATGAATTAGGTTATAACTATTTCATGTGTATTAAACTTATGCAAATTCTTACCATATTTTTAATATTTATACAAAAATTTTGAAGCTATTTCCAATGACATGTATTGAAATTCCGCTTATTAAAGATTGGAATTCAGCTTATACTAAAAAATTATGTATTGTTCTTTATATTTATTTGTATCCTATAATTCAATAACATATGTTTCTATGTTCATGTTCTTATAGTTGCGTCATATCCATTGGTCCAATCAACCATAATCAAAAAAGAAATTAGGCGTGAAAAAGCTAACCATCTGGCTGTAGGAATACCGGCGGCAGGGGCGTAACAATTGAACTTAGCCGACCTCAGCGCCGAAACAATCGCATCCTCCGCGACGGGAGTTGTCCTGAAGCTGGGGAAAACGGAGGGATCGCCAAAGCCGAGTGAAGCCACAGGCCTCTCATCATTTTCGTCGAGATTCGCCATTACCGCGTGCAAGGCCGAGCGGATTGACGTGCTCGGTGCGTTAACAACAGCGTTGCTTGCCGAGAACCTCCACTGAGCTACTTCGCTGTCGACATCATCCATATTCTCAGTAATTCGGGTTTCAGGCGCTGTATTGAACTGCTCGGAGTAGATTAGGGCTAGGAGACAATGACGCGGGAGACGGTGGGGCGGGAAGTGAAGGAAAGAGTCAGACCAGCGTTGTTTTCTAGAAGAGGGAGAATAAAAAAAATTTACATTCATAACCTCTAAAATTATTGAAAATACATATTTAACATCTAAATTTTTATATTTATTAATATACCACTTCAAATTTCTCTTTTAATCAATTCTAACATTTTCTTTAAACCTTCCGTCAAAAATCACTACCAGCAATTGTCTTCTCCATCAAGGCTAGGTTGATATGGAGAATCACTTATGAATTCATTAGCGGGCAAAAACGTATGATGACAGTCAAGTGATGTATTTTTGTCATTCGTTTTTTAGTGTATAAACGCTTTACTTGCTTACATGCAGTATGGTGATCATGATACGAGGACTGTAGTTGGGCGACGATAATTCATGAACCGTAGTCAGAAATGGTAGTCCGAGGAGCTCATAGTGATCATAAGACAATAGTGCTCGAGTGGTGCTCCTGGATCATTATAGCCTTAGAACTATCTTGAATCTTAAGCCAAAGTTTAAGTTCGAGCTCCAAGCTCCGCATCCCCTCTCACGTTGAGAGTGTGTCCTATTTATAGATTTTTTAGATTTAAATATTTTTAAATATAAAAAAACTCCAGAACACTCCATTGGACAGCTCAAATTGACTCCCTTTATTATAATCATTTATTGAATATTCAAGTGTCTTAATGATGTTAGAATTAAACATAGGCGGATCCACATTGGCCTAAGGGTGGGCAAATGCCCACCCTCAAAAAAAAAATTTTAAATATTTAGAGGGAATTTTTTAGAAATTGACTCCCTTTATTATAATCATTTATTGAATATTTAAGTGTCTTAATGATTTTAGAATTAAACAATATTTGTGTTCGATGTGTATATTAATTTCATCAAACTGCTCGATTCAACTATAAGCATGTCAAATTTATAGATCATTCTTTTATCCAATTAATATTATGAAGTTTTCAATTACGCTTGAGGCCCTTGGTTTGGGCTCATTCAAGCTCAAATTGGATCATTTCTGGTGTTGTTGGGTTTGCCTATTCAAGGCGATCAAGTCGACCATAAGTTTGAATTATCAGAGTTTGAATGGCCCTGAATTTAGTATTGGAAGTTTTCAATCCAAATATATTTCAAGATATGTGCCCCATAAGGTAATTTTTTATGAAATATTAACAAAAAAAATATTGAAATGCATAATATTGAAGAAAAATAAGATAAAAGCATTATTATTAAAAAAAAAATCACATAAGACAGTTTTTGTGAAAATAATCATAATATCCCTTCGAAATGGAACTTATATATTTTTATAATAATATTTTTTTTTCTGAAAATTTTAATGACTATTCAATATTACATTTTCTAATATCTTCTTTGCAAATATGTTTTTGATCAATTCAGAATTGTCTTTAGATTATATCAGAATCATACACCAAAACTATCAGAGTATAGCACATAAAGCATGATTAATTGCAAATATAATTGGATAATCGTTTTCATTAATGAATTAATATTTAATATTATTGTGTCACATTATGTTTTTTAACAAAAAATTATTATTATTATTATTATTAAATTATATTTTAAAAAAACAATCTTTATTAATGCTTAGTATAAAAAAGTAAAAAAATGTTTTAGAAAGAAATGATTAAGTTATCCCAAATGAAGCCTAAAGTTATTGTGAAAAGCAACTTACAAGTATTATATTTTTTTAAAGCATTAAGAAAATAGTGTGCAAATAAAAATTATAATTGATACTTCCTCAAAAATTATCTTTATCGGGCACAAATCTCGAGAAAAAATCAAGTTGGAAACTTCAAAAATTAAATTGGAAACCATATGAACTCTGATTTTAACAAACTTATAGTAGAACTGAATGTCTCGAAAATACGAACCCATGACACCAAATTCGACTCAATCTAAGCCCAAATTGGTCCAAATTAAGGGTCTGAAGCGTTGTTGGAGGGTTCGAATCATAATTTGGATTACCAAACGGTTTCCAAACATGACATACTTATAGTCGAATCAAGCGGCTCGATGAGACAAATCTAACGAGCCCAAGATCACTAAATTCCGACATCACTAAGACATTCAAATGATCATCAAATGGTCCACAATCCAGGGATTCAACATCAGTTGTCCATCCAACTACTCCCCATTTGCCCTTGTCTCCCACCTATTTATGGACCATGCCACTCTAGGAAATCTATAAATAGACCCCTCCCCCCTCTTGAAAGAGGGGCTCCAAGCAAGAGAACAAGAGAGAGATCAGAGATCGCTCTTGCCTCCTCGCTTCTCCTCGACCACAGTCGGAGTTCCGCCGAACAACCACTTGAGTGCTTGAGCTCCGCCGAACCACCGCCAAACGCCGGAGTTCCTCCGGACTACCACTTGAGATTCTGAGCTCCACCAAACCACCGCCTAACGTTGGAGTTCCGCTAGACCACCACTTGAGGCATTAAGCTCCACCGAACCACCACTTAACGTCATAATTCCGCCGGACCAGCACTTGAGGCCCTAAGCTCCGCCAAACCACCGCTTAACGTCAAAGTTTTTCCGGACCACCACTTGAGGCCCTAAGCTCCGTTGAACCATCGCTTAACGTCGCAGTTCCATTGGACCACCACTTGAGGGCTTGAGCTTTGCTGAACCACCGCCTAATGCCGATGTTTTGCCAGACCAACACTTGAGACCCTGAGCTCCGCCTAACGCCAGAGTTCGGCCGAACCACCACCTGAGGCCCAGACTTATGTCAGACTACCACTTGAGACACAGACTTATACCAGACCATCACTTGAAGCCTATACTTCTATCAGACCACCACCTGATGCCTTGAGCTCCACCGGACCACCACTTGAGGCCCTAAACTTCCGTCGAACCATCAACTGAGGCCCGGACTTCTGCCAAACCACCACCTGAGGCCCGAACTTCTGTCGGGCCACCACTTGATGCCCAGAGTTCTATCAGAGTATCACCCTACTACAACGGTCATTTTGACCCTGATCTCCGACCAACTACCGTCTTTTGGATCCCTGTCTCCTGCCGACTATGATCCTTCTGATTTTCATCTCCTACTACGGTCCTTCCGACCTACATCGCCAAACAAATGTCTTTCTGACCTTGGCCTCCTGCATACTACGGTCCTTCGGACCTACATCGCCGGACAATGGTCTTTCTGACTCCAGTCTCCTGCATACTATGGTCTTTTCGACCTCTATATCCTATCAACTATGGTCATGCCAAACAAACAAACATGTCTATGTTGATTATTGTAACTCCCACCATGTAATGCACTTTATATGATGTAAATTTTTGACATCAAGCTAAGGCCTTGTCCTTAAGAAGGGCCTCATTTGTAATCGACTGAAAATACTAGTGTATTCATTCAAACTGGGCCAGACCCTTCGGTTTTCCCCCCTTTTCAGGGGTTTCCACGTAAAAACTATTGTGTATCTTATGAACGCTACACCCTCTATCTTATCTGTTTGTGTGCTGGATCTTCGTACAATGCTAAGACGTTAAACTATATATTTCTCTACCACGGTGAATACTCCATAACACAACAATAATAACAATCTGAAAATCAAAATAATAACTAAATTGTCCCAATTTTTTTTTTTCTAAATTTTTCATATAATACTATAATAATATGGTCTAATTTTATTCATGGGAGCTGTGCGCTTCTAATTTGAATGGTTGAGACTTGAGAGTTTTGTCTTAAAAAAATAATTTTTCATTTTCATGGTTTGAGCAGTCGAGTGCCGGTTTTATTTTAAATATTATTTTATTTTTAGAATGATTAGAGCTTTAGTCTTAATTAAAATTGAAAACAAATAACAAGGTGGACGATTATTCAATGAAAAGCTAATAAAATAAATAAATTTAAACTTTATGTTCATCTCATTTATAATTAATATTATATTACATAGTGCATTATTAGATATATGATATTGTTGTGCACCAGAATTTTTTGCAGTGCTGGTGAGATCTAGAGTTTAATATTTCAATTTTAGACATAGATAAAGAGAGGGGTGTAAGAATTCGGAGCGCTATATCGAACGACCTATATTGATTCCTTCGATTAAAAAATGTTTGTTCCGTATTTAGCCTTTAGTTGCCCTAATGATGTTAGAATTAAACTATCTTGAGCTTGTAGAATTCTTTTCATTGAGTTGCTCGATTATTCTAAAAGCATGCCAATTTTGAGGGTCATCTGGTCCATCAATTAATGTACGTTGATTTGGACATATTTGGGCTCGGATTTGACAAATTTTGGCGTAATTTAGTTTGTATGGTCGAGATGTTTAATTCGACTTTAAGTTTGCCAAAATCAGAGTTCAACTGTTCTGAAACATACATTTTTAAGTTTTCAATTTAAACTTGTCTCGAGATTCGTGTCTGATCCAGATACTTTTTTTAACCTATCACATATACTTTTGATGAATTAAGTTGCTAAAACCAATTAATTGATAATTAAACAACCATTTATGAAATTTCTTATAATATTTTTATTGAATAATAAATGAGCACATTGATAAATATAACAGAACTTAGGAAATTACTAAGTAAATTTGTTTTTTATATACTGGGCCTTGAAATATTCATATCCCTACCTGAGATGGGCATAACGACAAGCCCAATATTCTTTATGGGCTCAAATGTGGATGACTTTATTTTCATCGAATTTGTCGTATATTTAAATCAGAGAATAAATTTTAAGGAAGAATATTTTATTAAATTATAATTTAATGAATGATATATATTATAGTTTTATTTTGAGAAAAATATACTATTTACTTTAAACAACTTAATTATATATTATACTAATTATAAAAAAAAATATTGATTATTAATTCATCATTCTAAAATTTTATGAAGATGTAGGATTTACTTCAAAATATCTTATGTGGCATAAGAGTGTTTAATATAATAATTTTTACTTGAAATTTTTTATTAGGAAGAATTGGTGATGTTTTTAAATTAACTGTAAGATAATTATTCTTAAATGAGAATTTAACTCTTAAAAATACATAATAATAATA